TGTTTTTACAAACATTTGTGAAAGAATGGGCCGCTCTCAGGAGCTCAGAGAATTCCAGCGTGGAACTGTGATAGGATATGTGCAACAAATCCAATAGTGAAATTTCCTCGTTCCTAAATATTCCACAGTCAACTGTCAGCTGTATTAAAAGAACATGGAAGTGTTTGGGAATGACAGCAACTCAGCCACGAAGTGGTAGGCCGCGCTTCTGGAAGAATGGTCAAAAAGTCCCATAAACACACTCCTAAACCTTGTGTACATTCTTCCCAGAAGAGTTGAAGAGTTATAGCTGCAAAGGGTGGACCCACATCATATTGAATCCTATGGATTAGGAGTGGGATGTCACTTACAATAAGTTCATATGCGAGTAGAGGCAGGTGAGCGAATACTTTTGGCAATATAGTGTATGTGCTAGTCGTTCCTGACTCTAGGGGGCAGTGTTTAAACCCCTCAAATGTCATTCCAGTTAGATGAATACAGTCATCCTATGAGCTGTGGGTAGCACAGTGGTTAGAATGCAGTACTGCAGGCTACTTCTGCTGCTGGCTGCCTGCAGTTCAGCAGTTTGATTCTCACCAGGCACAAAGTTGACTCAGCCTTCCTTTCTTCCGAGGTCGATGAAACCGCATGCTGGATTTCTGTATTGGATGGGGATGGGTTATGTTAAATTTCATTGAAATTGATGCAGAGATTTTTGAACAACAGTGCACTCCTTTACTTTATTTTTTTTTTAAATAAGAGTTAGAACCTCCTGAAAAAAATGTCCAGCAATAATAGCTTCTACAATGGAGAACAGTGAGGAGAATTAACAGGTGGAACAGAAGTTGCCTCCAGAAGTTGTGGGTGCTTCATCACTAAAGGTGTTAAGAAGAGATTGACAGTCAACTGTCTGAAATAGTATAGGCCTATAGGGTCTCCTGTTTGAGCAGCAGGCTAGACTAGAAGACCTCCAAGGTCCTTTCCAGCTCTATTCTGATTCTGATTCTGATTCTGAAACTAGAGCAGATTCAAATCTATCTGCTCTGCCTCTGAGAAATGAAAATGTGTTCCTTATTACTCTATCCTGACGTGAGACCCATAATTTGGCCAAGTCCAGTGCATTTATGAAATGGAGATGACACTGTTGTCAAAGCATTAAAAGTAAACAGTCACTTCTTTCTTTCTTTAGAAAAGACGCAGCTCAGATGAAGTTTTGGGGAGCCCAACGATACAAGCTGCATGAATAGCAGGACATTAAGATGTAATAATTAGTCAACAGTCAGTTTCTCGATTTGGCTAAACCAGATGCAGCAAGAACGGCACATGGTCACAATGGTTAAACAAAATACAGAGGTAAAGGAAGATCTGTTTCACTCTCCTTTGGATCTGTTGCCTAATATAGTAGCCCTATTTTTAAAGGGCAATAATCAACTATCTGAAACGTTCCTTGATCTCTAATGGCATTTGCTCAACAATCTGCTTGGCTTCCTGAGAACTAGGCAGAAACTCTGGGAGTAGAGCCAGAAGGTGTCCTTTCCCAGGTGTATTCAGTTAGGAGGATACAGCTTCATTAAGCTGCACTAATTTGCTCCACCCCTGGTTGTACTTTACAATCCATAGAGAGCACAAACATTTTAGCTGACACCTGATCAGGCTATTAATAGAAGGGCTGCTGCAGCTGTTCTTGTCTTGCAGCTGTGCTGATGGAAACAAGCTACCAGTGTAGCTGATTGCTTTGCTGAAGGGGAGGCAGATCCTTAAAGATTCCTTGTCTGAAAGAATGGTACTTCTAGTTTCACCTGTTTAATTTAGGATTCTTCAACAAGGTCCCAAAATGGGACTTCCTAGTAGAAGGATTGATCCCTGCTGTGTTTTGTTGCTCTGGGGAAGCTCTTTGACCTTAGGATATTGGATACCCAAATTCTGCCCCCTTACTGAGCTGGTATCTGAAAGAAATAGTGGCAGTAATCAATCTACCCCTTTGAATTGGAGTTAGATGCAGTGTCTGGTTGTCAGTATATTGCTAAATGCCATTTCTCATCAAATCTAGCCAGCATAGTAAAGAGGAAAAGCTGTTAGGAGCTCCATGGAAGGCCATAGCATGAATTATATGATGGGGGAAGCTGATTTCATGTAACTTCAGGCAGATTGTATTGTGAATCTATATACCCATGGGCTGGTTTTTATATTTGTGCTTGTTATCCCTAGTTATCTTTCAATCTGCCCTCCATTACTGACCCTTAGCAATAGCACTTAGCCTTATATACAGCTTCACAGTGCTTTACAGCCCTCTCTAAATGGTTTACAGAGTCAGTATGTTGCCCCCGACAATCTGGTGTGGAAAGTTATCACGCAGCTCTCTCCCAGAAAAATGAAATATCCTAGGAAATATTGAAAGGGCAGAATATTATATTTCCCTGGATGTGAAAAGGAAGAAACACGTTTTACAGAGAGAATAGCTCCCTGCAGCTTCCTGCCCCCACCCACTTTGTCAATGGGCCATTAAGATGGCCAAGCCAGTCCCTTTACATAATAAAGAGTTATCCCCTTCAGCTCTAGGGATAAGAGATTAAGGCATGATAATATTGGCCTTTTACCCAACTCACCACATGGCATCTGAAAACTCAACCAAACCTGGATTCAAAANGGAAGTAGCCCTTAACAGTGGCTCTAATCTGTGTTTGGTCAAATTTGCCCTTTGTTGAATGGCAGCAATGCTTAGATGCCTCTTCTTCTGTTTTATCTCACCCAATGCCTCCATACCCCATAGGGAGTGTCAGGCTTCACCAGAGGAGATAGATTGCATAAGCACAATTCTATCCAAAGCCTCAGCTTTATCCTCTTATTCCAAGTGGCAACCAAGGTTAGAATAGAATAGAATAGAATTCTTTATTGGCCGAGTGTGATTAGACACACAAGGAATTTGTCTTTGGTGCATATGCTCTCAGTGTACATAAGGAGAATAAAATACATTCATCGAGAATAAAAAGATACAACACTTAGTGATAGTCAAGGTTGGATGCAGCAGGAAGGATGGCACAACAGCGACAACCCCAACTCCTAGGGCTCAACTTCATGAACAGGGTCTTCACAACCATTTGTGCTCTTCCAGGAAGGGCATCCTTGAAAAACCCCAGACAAGGACCCACCATTGTCAGAGCTGCCCACGTGGTTTCCATCAAGGGACGAAAATGGGATCCCGTCTGGAAGGCTGGGTGGAGATTTCCACCTTGCGAGAAGGCAGAAATCTTTTCGTTAGCGGCTGAAAAAGAAGCCACCGCTGGCTGAGCGGGCTGGCAAGAGAGCGCCAGCGTGCCAGAGGCTTCCATTGACGACAAAATCTCTGGCCCGCCCCTCGGCTTTTCCTTAGCCAATCGGACCGCCAGTTTGGGTCGAGCCTCCTTCAAGCCTTCCCCTGCTTTTACTGTGATAACCTCCCCGGCAGTCATGTGATGGGGATATAGTACTACGCGAGGAGAGCTAAAGGACACATCACCCTCTGGATTGCTTGGTCGCAGTCGGAACTCCCTTCGCCTGTTGGCGACTGCCAGGGACGACGTTTGCCATCCTGTCAATCTTCTTGGGGAAAACGTTGGCTGCTTTTTTTTTTAATAGCTGCATTTTTTTCCTCATCCCCCCCTTCTCCCTTTAAATGCCAGGAGGAGTGGCTGCCGGTCGGGGTCTTTTTCCTCCTTTGCTTTGGGGGTAATTTAAAGTTTGGCGGGGTGTTTCTCCCCCCCACACCCACTTTCCAGACTCGCCCGCATTCCGGGGGTCGAGAACCAGAGAAAGTTCAGGTAAGGAAGGAAAGGACACGATCGCGCCTCTTTCACGGCAATGGGAGGGCGCCCCTGGAGAGAGGACGGGGCCGGCGAGTGGCGAGGGGAGAAGAGGAAACCGCAAGGGGGAAGAAGCAGCAGCAGAAGGCGGCAAGAAAGAAAGAGAAGCGGGGCGGCTGTAATGAAGGAATCCGACCCGCGTGCATGTGTGTGTGTGTGTTTATGTAAGCACACCGTGTGCAAGCCGCGTTACACGGGAAGGGAACGAGCTGCTCGCAGATCTCCCCGGTCATTGGAGAGGAGCGGGGCCGATGGGTTAGCCAGCCTCTGGTGTGTGTGTGTCGTGGTGGGGACGACGCTCTGGTTTTCGGGATGCTAAAACAAGGGGACGGAAGAAGGACGGGCGAAAATCCGCCTGTGCTCCAGGACATGGAGGCCAAGACGGCGTTTCTCTGCGCGCGAAGTTGTTTGTCATAAAGGAGGGGAACGGGAAGCGTGGCGGCGGCGGTGGTGGGAGAGATTACGGAGGAGCCCCCTTCTCCCCCCAGCTCTGAAGGACACGATCCGCCGTCTAAGCGCGCCGAATGGCTCTCCGATCGACAGGAGCGTCCAAGTTCCGAAGAATGAGTGTGGGGGGAGGCGATTTCCCACCATATGTTCAGGCAGAGCTTCTTTGGTAGAGAACACTCGTTTTCGTCATGCGGGAGGAAACTCTGGGAGTCGCTGTGCCGGAGCTCGGTGCGGTGACTGTCGCCTCCCCTTCGGCAGCAAATAAACAGGCAGGTACTTTTCCATGTCTTCTGTTAACCCGGAGACATGAGAAGGCCGGTTTTCAATGCCACCTGACAAGGTCCCAGATCTGTCACTTGTGCTGCTGTGTGCAAATGCTCCCTGGTCTTTTGATTCCCCTTTGGACTTAAAAACATCTCATAAGAGGTTCTGCTTGTCAAAGTTGGGCTGCTGTCCTTTTTTTTAAAACACCCCCTCCCATCTTCAATATCCCCTGGAGAGCTACAGAAAGTGCTGGCTGCAGGCAGCGTGCATGAGCACATCAGAGATAAATTAATGGGTGCTTTTGGTAGTGCTGAATATGGAAGCCGTAGGGAAGGTGTTTGACTACATCTCCTGCCAAAACAGGGCTGCTGGGGGCTGAAAACGATGGGAAGTGGAGAAATCTGTTGGGTGCCTTCTTTCAGGAAGGTTGGCCCATGCCAACCCTAAAAAACGCAGAAATTGCTGGGTTAAGTCTTAAGAAGCAAGTGACTAGTTGTGACATTTTAGTGTTTAAATGGAAGGGTGTGTAGCAATAATAGTAACAATGCAGAGTTAAATGGAAGGTCTCTTTGATAAGACCTGCTGTGTGATTTGAAAGTTTTCAATCTGCCATCAACACTGTTCACTTGCCCAGGAAAAAAAACAAATCCTTCTTTTGTGGAAGCTAATAATAGAATTCTAATTGTTAGAGTTACCTCTTTACCAAAGAGCATACCCCAAATTCTGTTTGAGGACTGGGTATATCCAATAACCCAAAGTTATTCCCCAGAGTCTTTTTTTTTTTTTTTAGTAAATTTTCTGGAGAAAGTGTAAGATTGTGTGTGTGCATGCATGCGCGTGCGCATGCATGCACAGACACACAGACACGAAAGACAAAGCTGTATGTACTATACAATATCATCTGAAAACCACCCATTTATTTTGCCTGATGTCAGTGAGACAGCTTTCAAGAATGTAGGGGAAAACCCAACTCCTATTATTTTTCACAAATGTTGCCAAGGCAAAGATTCATTTTTGTCCCCCTCTCCGTTGATCTTCTCCAGTCTTGCCTTTCCACAGTTTGTAACTTTACTCTGGACATTGGCCAAAGAAAGGAATGAGATGTAATCTGCATATTCAGAGGGCAGCAGTTTTGGAGAAGATCTCTTGCACCTGCACCTTCAGAGCACTCAAGGTGTTCTGAATTGCAGGAAGATTTCCCCTTGTTCCTGGCAACATTTTTTTTGCTGTGGAAACTTTGTGACTTACGTCATTTTTACCTTTGGAGAGGCGATGATGTTTCCAATGGCTGCGGCACAAACATTTAGTATTTTTTCAAGCAGAAATTTGGCCTGTGTGTATACACACCGGACTCCTTTTGAAAGGCAATGGTGAGAAAGTAACCTAGAGCAGGAATAGGAGGAGGCAGCTGTGTGTTTTGTTCCGTTCTGTTCTGGCTGTTGTGATAATGCTGAAAAAGAGAGGGGGGAGGGAGGGAGGGAGGGGAAGAGAGAGAGGGAGAGAAAGAGGTAGGGAGAGAGAAATGGCTGCTGGGTTACTTTCGGTCATTCCAAACTATAGAGTTCAAAGGAAGGGAGTGGGGAAGAGAGAATAGCACCAGGGAAACTGAGTTCAGTCCCTTTCTTTAATACCTGCTGTGTAAAGCTGAGGCCGTGTTTAAAAAAAAACATTTGCCTAAACTGCAGCATAATTTCCTACAGCTGTCCTCCATCTCCTCTCCCTTTTCTTCCCCACTGCAATGAATCTCAGAGCTTTCCTCCATTGCCAGCTGCATAGATGAGCATGTAGACAGATTCGGGACTGCATGTGTGTGTGACCAGCATGAATGACCAAACCTCAGGTCGTTTGGCCAGAGCTGCGGATTACAGCTTATAAACTTTGGTATCGTAAGGCAAAATCTTCAGAAAAGAATAAAGGAACTGATATATTTTCAAGCCAATTGACTTCAGGCAAGGAAAGGGATCCCAGTCCCTTACTCCCCTGCCGTGTCTCATTCCTAGCAGAAGTATAGATAAAGCTAGGAAATCCTGAAAATTATAAAGCAAGCTTGGCAACTGCTTTTAACTTGAATCCGTGTGTCCTTATGGCTCTTTTGCTTTAAGAATCCTAACTCCTGCCTTACTGCCCATGTAGCCGAGTGTGACAGGTTATGTGCTGTAAATTACAAAGTGCAAAATAATGCAATAAGCTTAGGAAATGACCTATGGTGGGCAGTACAGGGACTGAGATAGTGCTTGGGGAGGGAGAAAAAAAAGGTCAGAACCCACCCTTCAATATTTAAACCTTCTAAGACCCCTACAGAACATCCTTGCAATGTTTTCAGTGGCCATGAGACATAAAAAAACAATTCTTGAAAAAATTAAGCAGAGATAGTATCATGTCCAGTTGTTACCATGTTATATAGAGATGCACCCTTAGATAGACATTGTACCGTGTTTCCCTGAAAATAAGACAGGGTCTTATTTTCTTTTGACCCCCCCCAAAATAAGCACTTGGCCTTATTTTCAGGGAGGTCTTATTATTTTTGAGGTGCAGGAGACGGGCGAGCATGGTCACCTCATGGCTGCTGCTGTGTTGCAATATTTTCGGGGAGGGCTTCATGCGCTCAAAAGCCTGATTGGGCTTATTATCCGGGGAAATCTTATTTTCAGGGAAACAGGATAGAACCCACATTAGTTTGTGGTAGTGAAAATTGAGGTCTAGTAGCCTTCTTTTTTCCATTACAGCAATACATTTTATTAAAAGGCATTTCACTTCATCGGATGCATGGAGTAATGAATTAATAGATGGAAATGATCGTCTGATGCTACTAGATGTTTTTGTGAAACAGTAGTCCCCAATCTTTTTGGCACCAGAGATAGGTTTTGTAGAAGATAATTTTTCCACAGACCCAGCTGTGGGGGGGAGGGGGGAGGAGCCTGCAAAGTTCCCTCTGGTGCACATCCATTGCTCACCTCCAGCTGTGTGGCCTAGTTCCTAATAGGCTATGGACTCAGTGGTGGGATTCAGCCAGTTTGCACCACTTCGGGAGAACCGGTTCTTAACTTTCTGAGCAGTTTGGTGAACTGGTTGTTGGAAGAAATCATTAGGGCAGAGAACCAGTTGTTAAATTATTTGAATCTCACCACTGCATGGACTGGTATTGGCCCACGGCCCGGGGGTTGGGGACCCCTGCTGTAAAACGTACGACCAGCCAAAATTAACAGTCCTAAACTGGAATGCCTTTCTTGCAACTATATATTTACACTTCCCTAAGAGGANTCATTAGGGCAGAGAACCAGTTGTTAAATTATTTGAATCTCACCATTGGTTTGACACCCCTGCTTTACAGAGAGAGACTCTGCCACCTCTGTGAGGTTAATTGCCTAAACTCTTGCATATCAGTACCAGAGGTGGATTGCTCCTGGTTCGGATCGGATCAGGTGAACCGGTAGTGGTGGTGGTGGGAGGCTCCGTCCACCCACCCAGACACTTCTGCACATGCGCACACGTGCTTCTGATTCAGGGGTGGGTTACAGCAGTCACTGCTGCCAGTTCGCTCATGGCCACTTCGCGTGCTCTTGATGCACACTGCACGCATATGCACAATGCAATAAAAATTGCTCTGCGCATGCGCAGAAGCAAAAAACAAGATGGCGGCACCTATGGTGCTGCGGGAGAACTGGTTCAGGGGTGTGGCCCTGCCGATTCCAATGACCCAGGCCGCCAAACCACTACTGGTTCTGCTGAACCGGTTCGAATCGGTAGGAGCCCACCTCTGTTCGGATTGGTGGTTTACCAGGAAGAAAGAGGAGTTCAAGACTTTGCTGTCTATCAAGGGAGCCCAGAGGCACAGCTTTACCTTTGCTGAGAGGTAATTGCATTCTGGGAGACTGACCCCAGCTAGGCTTTAGAAAGCGGACATCTGAAGATTTTTAAAAAACAGCTGAATAAACTTAAAATTATTCATGGCTAGCACTTTAATCATGATAGTAAAAGTTAAAACCCCGCCTAAGTTGAATGTGCTATTTGAAATGGCACTGATTGTAATCTCAGACAAAACCTTGTAGGAGTGACAAAGAACAGCAAAGAGGTTCATATGGAGTAGGGGAAAAATGAGACCATATGATTTAAAATTTTGCAAGATTGAAAAGTAAGAGGTGGTACTTAAAGGACTGTAAAAAGATTTTTTTAAATGTGATACAAATGCATTAATTTGGGGGACTTTAAAGATTAAAGTACAAGTGAAACCAGTTGCTAGTGGA